AACCACTCGTCACGTGAAAAAGTCTTTTCTTATCTTATTTTTGCTTCTTTTGCAGAATACTTCAACATTGTGTCCTTTATCCTTTTTAGTGGGAACAGCATCTCATCATCTGATTTAGACGCCTCACTTTTTTGAGAGCATCAATCAAATCTCCCCTCACACTTCTCCTCTCCAAGGAATACAGTCCAAACTTTTCCGAGATTTCCTTGTAACTCAAATTTAATCATCCCTGGAACCATTTCCACAAACCTCTTCGGCATTCTTTCCGATGCGCTCACATCCTTCCTAAAGCGTAGCCCTCAGAATCATACATAATACACAAGCTGAAATCTAACCAGTGACCTATGTAATTTCATCGTAACCTCCTTACTCTAATACACTTTGATGTTACTAATGAAACCTAGTATGCTGCATACTATATTAACTGCTCTCTACTCTTCCTGTCACCTTTAGTGACTAATGCACACAAGTGTCGCTGCTTCTGCACACCCATTAGACTAGCAGTCTTTACATTGTACAAACACAGTTAAATGTAGGAGAACTTAGCAGGTCTGGCAACATCCATGGAGAGAGAAACAGGTAATGTTTCAAGTCTGGTATGAATTTTCTTCAGTTCTGAATCCCTTTGACTGTTTCAGACTTTTGGCATCGGTAGTATTTTGCTTTTCCCATATATATATGGTGTCTCCATGTTCTTTGTATCAAAGTGTATAATCGCATCCACATTGAACCGCATCTGCCATCTGTTCGTCCAGTCCATCAACCTGTGAATATCCTTTGGAAATTCCACACTGTCCTTTCAGTTCTCAATTCTCCGAAGTTTTATGTCATCTGCAAATTTCAAAATTGTCCCTTCACATCAACATCTCGATCAATTGTATATGTCAGTTAAAGGAAAGGTCCCAATACTGAATTTTGGGGTAACTGCATACCTTCCTGCAGCAGAAAAATACCTGTTAACTATTAATTTTTTCTATTCCCCCAGCCAATTTTGCATCCATGTTGCTACTGTTCCTTTAATTCCTTGACTTACAATTTTCCTCAAAAGTCTGTGAGAATCTGAATTGAACACCTCACAGAAGTCCACGTACATCATGTAACTGCCTTACTGTCATCAACTTTTTTACTGCTTAAAAAATCAAGAAAGGCACTATCTTCCCTAGAGCCAGTCCCAGAAATCTCAAGCCCTCCCCCTGCACCAGCCAAGCATTTATTTGGCTCATCCTCATATTTCTGTACTCGGTTGCATGTGGCAGTGAGTGTTGTCTGTTGTCTTTAAAGATCATGCGTGTTAAATTTTCTACCTATCTTCACAAATTCTGATTACAAGACCACATTCCCAACCCTATGTCATTAGCACCAACATGGATCACAACCTCTGGCTGCTGCCCTTCCCTGCTGACATCCTTCACCCAAGCACTGAACAGGTGATATACCTGGAGTCATGTTGACAGCTGCAGAAATACCAGTTTGTTCTTCGAAAGAACCTCTATCAGTACTGCCCTTCCACTCTTCCTTTTATCCTGTCCAAAGATAGGCCATCAGTAATTCCATAGGTGTGGCTGTTGCTGCAATCCTCCAAGGATCCATTACCCTCCCCAATATCCAGAATAGAAAGCCAGCTTGTGAGTAGGACATTTGTGCTGCTTTACTACCTGCCCGTTTCTCTTGGACTGCTTGATGGTCACCTATTCTGATCAGCCTGTTTGTCCCTAACTTGCATTGAGACCACATCTCTGAACCTGCTATCCAAAACATTCTCTGATTCACAGATGTTCCTCAGCAACTCCAGCTGCTGCTCCAACTCCAAAAGCTAGAGTTCAAGCTTGTGCAGCTGGTGAAACTTCCTACATATGGGTTTCAAATGCACACAATTCCCCACATATCACACTGGACGGGCTTTTAAGCTTATACTTTACTCACCTTAACTTTAGTTATGGTTACTTTCAATACTTACTAGCACTAACATGTAAACTGGAGATTGCTAGAATATACAAATTTTTCACCCTTACTCAAAAATCAGCTCCTCTATTGCTCCCATAATGTTTACTTTCATTGTGCTAGTTTAGAAATTTCTGATGTTCAAACTTACTGGAGTTAAAGGGATCCCGAACATCATAGGCTCAGCAACCAATCAACTCATGGCATGATGTCACGGTTGCTATGTTTCCCTGCTGCTGAATCACATTCCTGAGGGTCTGCCTCTCTGTGTTTGTTCCTGAAGGCAAGGCCCTGCTGTCCTGGTGCTCTCATGCTGTTCTAGAAATTGCTATCCCCACTGTCTCTCTTGCTGTTTGAGGCTCAAAAACTCACCCGCCATTCTTCATTCGCAGTGGAAACTGCATCCGGATTCAAGTAATCAATTTCACAAAGCTAGCCCATCTACTGCTTTGCAACAGCAGGAAGACTGAACTAAAAAATGTAAGTCATTGAATAAACCATTGCCTGAAAACATTTCCTCCAAAGTTTGATGTGAATTAACGAATGTTGGAAAGGCACAATTAAGTCTTGTAGTGATGAGTGCAACCAATGTATGATCTTGAAGGAAGAATACATATTTTGAAAGTTTGCCATTTTTATGCAGCACTAAAGAAAGGAGGTACACCAATGGCTCCAGGTAACAACTTGTACAGGCTCCTGCAAAAGCACCGCCTAAACCTGCAAGCTCTAATACATAGGGCAATAAGGGCATTGGGTGCATGGAAACACTATTACCCCCAAAGCACACATTATCACAACTTGGAAATAAAACACCATTCCTTGTTGGTCACTGGGCCGCACAGAAACTTACTGAGATAGCATATTCTGTTCTTATCTTCCATCTTTGCGATTTACGATTTACGAAGTTACATAATTTCTGTGACAGCATGAGATCTCCAGTCTCCTCCCTCTCCACTCACCTTGCCCAATAACTAATTTGCAATTCATTCTTCTAGTTGCAAATTGCCAGGTTAAATGTAACTATTTCACAAATCTACATTTGTTTAGAATATAAAACTTGGCCGATTACAAAATGGTATCTCAATTGTATTCATTTTATAAGTTTTGTCTTTTAGAAGGGCAAAGCAACAAGTCAGCACAGCAATAATCTTCTGCATAAATTCCTTTTTCTAGCAAATGTTTTGAAACATTTTAGAATAGCAAACTGACTAGAAGTTCACTTACTGTAATTTAAAACAAAATTACATCCAGAATTTAAGATTCCTAAAGAGGGTTAAGAAGTGATTATTAAAGTTGACAGTGTTAATTTGGTTTTGCAATATTTTGCTATTGAGATGGTGTGACACATTCTATGTTATACTATTAAATACAACCTACTTGAGGGAATAAGATGGCCAGTTCAATTGAAAAAATAACAGCCAATGAGCACTATTATGCAAGTCTATATGGTACTCCTACAGGATGAGACCAATAGAAATTATTTGGGTAATGCTTTCAATTAGTCAAGTTCTTTCCATAGCATGTGCACTTGTGTAATAAATGTTGATGTAATAATGCAAGGAAATATCATATTTAATTTGATACGACTAGTTTTGTTATTAAGTTGCAATTAATGTCTAATCATATACCTAGCACTTTCAATCAGGGTGGCTTGATTTCACCCAACACTTCTCATAACCTTTAACTGCAACATAAAGCTACACCTAATTATCATTTACCTGTTGTCAGCCTACTTTATTTAGCAACAAACTAAAATGAGTTTCTTTTGCAGTCACAATTTAAACACTACTCCCGTAACAAAATAAAAACAGAATCTAACCTCCCAGGTAGGAACATAAGAATTGGATGAGGTCATTCAGCCTGTTCAGCCATTGAGATCATACTTAATTTGTGACCTAACTTCATACATGCACCTTTTCCCTCTATTCCTTCAGATCTTTGGCTAACAAAAATCTAAACCTCAGGTATAAATTTATTTATTAATCCAGCATTAATTGCAGTTTGTGGAAGCAGTTGCAATTTCACCCACTCCACAGGTGTAGAAGTGGTATGTAATTTCACTCCTGAAAGGTCTGGCTTTAATTTTCGGACTGCACCCTTTGCAAATACATGTTTTCTGAAACGTGAAAACAGAAGTCAACTACGATGATTACTTCCCCCTTGAATAGGCACAAATTATATGCAAGTGGGTGGGTTTTCAAAGAGTTAAAATCTCACCATGGCTTGTGTAATGGAAGTGGAAGCTGAAACCAGGGTCGAGGGTATGAATTTAGACTTTAATTCCAATGATCCATCATTACAGCTATCGGGCAATCTCAGCCCTTTTGCAGATATTTGATTCAGAAACTGAGCTATGACATGAACTCTGTTCCAATACTTGCTAAGTTTTGTTAAATAAATTACAAAAATTCAAACTGGGGACAATACTTTTTTTATTCTTTTGAATATGTAATCTTATGAAAAGATAGGAGGAAACAAGTTACTGCAACTTCAATTATGTTAGTAAGCTGACATAAATAAGTCAATATTGCACACCTCTAGCTGACTGAAGGCTGGCTAGAGCAGTTTGCATTACAATACAAATGTAGCCTCTTACAATATCAAGCTTCTACTAATGTGCTTCTTAAAATATCTTTTCCTGCCATTTTATACATCAAAGACCTAAAGATGTGACTGGACTTGAACATGATTTTCATCATTAATTATCACAGCCCTCTTTGGCTAGGAGTTCAGATTTTCATTTTGTAAGAGTAGTGAATGAAAAAGATGTCAAATGAGGAGAGTCTGGTAGTGGTTACGTAATCTAAAACCAACGGGGACTCTATGGGCACACCCTGATCTGCAAAGTTTAAGTCTCACCAATTATAAATGTAATAAAATTCCTAAATTGTACAAATCTGTTCAAAAACAGAAAAAAAAATATTTACAAAGACCCTTTTGATTACAGTAGTAAAACTTTGGCACTATGGATATAACCAAATCTCTTGCTCTCTGAAAGATGCTTCAATGGAAGTCAGTTCTTCATTCTGTCTCCATGTTTGCTGTCTTACACAATATAGAGTCAGAGCCGAAGTTCTCGATTACTTTCTTTGTGTCGCAGAGAATAGAAATGGTAATTTTTCTCTAGACAGATGTTGCTACGTATGTCAGTACTTTTCTCATTTGGTTTCCTATGAAGGCGAAACAAAAAATGTTACATGCTTCGAAAAGACAAAGGGTAACAACAAATATTGCCAGTCTATTTGCGAATCACGTGCCACATAAAGCCGCAATGAGGTTTCACCAACCCCTGTCCCCACCCCTAAAACATTTTCTACACTGCACCCTGAGCCAAATGAGGAAAAGATGAACAACTAAATCAGAAACCAATATTTATTTTTTTTCAGCCTTTGGCTTGAAGACACTACTGATAGGTTTGTGAGAAAATGAACAAAGTCACAACGTGGAAAGGAGCATGTGGAAATGTTTTCAAAAAAAAAAAAAAATGGTGCACAAACTCTCTTTGGGGTAAAGAACAATTTTTAAAAAATTTTGTCAATAAGAATAAAAAATTCTCAGCAATGACAATTTATGCTTATAAGAGTTTCTTTAGACTTAGGAAATGTCTCAAAGTGTTTCAAAAATATGCAAGTTTAAAAAATCTTCAGACTTTAAACTGTTTTTATATTTTTAACACTGAAGGAAAGTTTAATGGTGATAGAATAAAGCGATGGCAGAGAAATGTTAGGGATAGCACCATTACCAGAAGGACTGCCGAAGTTTGTAAGATATATCTGGGACTGTTATCCTACTTAACCAAGGATGGACAATATTTACATTACCAAAAGTAAAGGAAATTATTAGTAAGTGTGGTGAACTTGTATAATCTATTCTCTTTTGTTTGCCTTTTGAGTAGTTTCTTCGGCGTCCTTTTGAAGATATGTAATTTTGTGGAGGGGAGTGTACAATTCATAGGTGACTGCAGCCTTCAGTCACCTCCCACAAATTGCATTTCTGAACTGAGAACTTGGAGACTTTTTGGACTAAATAGGATCTGGACATCACAATGCACAGTCCAATACTCATCTGGCATTCTTATATGTACTTATCATGTAAAGATACCTGGAACTGAATCCCACCAAACCCAGAAATAAGGGACAGAGATGGTTGTAAGGGGAAGTCAGGTCTAAGCATGTGAGGGCGAAAGGAAAAGAATGACCTGTTGATAGAATGAGATGGAGTGGGAGAAATCTTGTGTGGAGCATAAACCCTGGAATAGATTAATTGGTCTGAAATACATACTTTAAATTCTACATAATTGTTGGCCACAAAATCATCAAAGGAGGACATTCTTTGTTTAACAGGATTCCAACTTTCTATGAATAATATTGATCTAAAGGTTTTACATAAAAGGTTAATTTGCTTTTATTACATGTTTTTGCAATATAAAAATACGCTATTACAAAATTAAACTTTTCAAACTGCCATTCATAGACTCGAAAGGTGTAATGAAAAGACCCAGAAATCATCATTGGGCTGCAACGCATCACTCCAGAGGAACTGAAGCTTTGATAATTAAAGATCCTTCCTGTTTCTGCCCAACCCTACATAGGAGGAAAGTCTGAGAAGTTACAGCTGCTGGCATTTTCTGTTCTAGGTTCCTTTTCGCATCATTTCTTGAGAAAACACACTGTATCAGTGGTGAGATCTTACTCAAGGAGGAAATAACGAAGGAGTGCTTGCTCAGGGAAGGGAGATGGAGACGGGAGAGAAAGAGCCTGACATTAATTAAAGACTTCATTTCCATAGGTGTTGTCAATCAATTAAATACTTCTGAGATGTAGACACTACTAAAATGTAGGAAACACAACAATCAGTATACACATAGATAGCTCTAAAAGCAATGTGATATGACCAGAAAATTCATTCATGGAATGTGGAAGTTGCTGGCTGGGACAGCGTTTATTGCTGATCCTAGTTGCCATTGAGGTGGTGATGAGCTGCCCTCTTGAACTGCTGCAGTCCATTCGGTGTGGTGTGGCTGTTAGGGGAAGAGTTCCAGAATTTTGACCCAGTGAAAACGAAGGAACAATGATACATTTCCAAGACAGGATGACAAGTGGCTTGGAGGGGAACTTGCAAGTGATAGTGTTCCCGAGGATCTACTGCCCTTGTCTTTTTTGGTGGTAGATTGGAAGATGCTGCCTAAGGAGCCTTGGTAAATTTCTGCAGGGCATCTTGTATTTGGTACACACAACTGCTATTGTGTTTCAGTGGTGGAGGGAGTGAACATGCGTGCCATTCAAGTGGGCTGCTTTATTCTGGATGATATTAAGTTTCCTCAGTGTTGTTGGCACCGTATTCATCCAAACAAATAGGGAATATTTCATCAGAATCTTGACTTGAACTTTGTAAAATGGTGGAGAGGCTTTGGGAAATCAGGAGGGGAGTTACTTGCTGCAGGGTTCCTAGCCCTGCTCTTGTTGCCATAATGACAGCATGATGACAGTGGTTTGCATTGCTACCTCACAGCTCTAGGGACCCAGGTTCGATTCTAGCGTTGGATGTCCGTCTGTGTGGAATGTGTACTTTCTCCCTGCGACTGTGTAGTTTTATGCTGTATGTTCTGGTTTCCTTCCACAGTACAAAGACAAGCAGATTTGATGGATTGGCTGTGCTAAATTGTCTGTTGTGTACAGAGATGTGTAGGCTAGGTGGATAGGATAGGGGGCTGGGTCTGGGTGGGATGATCAGAGGGTTGATGCGGACTTGATGGGCAGAATAGCCTCTTTCCGCACTGTGGTGATTTCATGATCTTTTTGTGGCTAATCCAGCTTCTGGTCAATAGCAATGCCCAGGATGGTTTTTTTTTTAGTGACGCTGGTAAAATGGATAAATATTGGCATAGACAATGGGCATAAAGTCCACACTCCATCTCTTCTCAGGATTAGTGTCACTGTCAGATGAGTCCTTGGTTCAACATGTCAAAAAGATGGCACCACCAACAATCTAGCACTTCCTCAATATCAGAATGCCAACCTAAACTTGTATGTTCAAGCCTTTGGCGCAAATTTTGAACACTCAGCCTTCTGACAGAAGTGAGAATGCACCCATTGAGCCATACTTACATCTGGCTCCTACCATACGATGAGTATCATGTCTAAATTATTCAAACTGAATGCCAACAACTTTTGCAGAATTTACACTTGCAAAAATAAAGCATCACATTGAAAGCTGGAAATTGCAACATGTATTTCTACAGGGCAAGGCAAGATACTAAATTGTTTTTCCAAGGCACAACATGATTGCGGAGTCTTGGGAAGATGTCAGCCAGAACACTGGATTACTGGTACCAAATAGGGCACAACAAACAAAAAGAAATTCTACTGACTTAACTGGATCAAAATCTCAATGATTACTCCCTCCACCACTAATGCCCAATGGCTGTTGCATGCAACATAGAAAAGATACAGTCCACCACTCACCAAGTCTCCTCTAACAGCACCATGCAAACCCACTGACTTCTGGCACCTGGAAAGACAAGGGCAGTAGATACGCGGGAACACCACGACCTGGAAGCTACACACCATCCTAACTGGGAATTGCACTGTTGTTACTTTACTACCACTGGGGAAATATCTGAAACTCCCTTCCTAATAGGACTGTGGCTGTAGCTACACTGCATGGACGGCAGCGTTCAGGATGACAGCGCAACACCACTTTCTCAAGGACAATTAGGATGGACAATTAAATGCTGACTTGCCAGGGACACCCACATTGCATGCAATAAAACGAACAAAATGACAGCAGGAATTCATCTTCAGAGCAATCTCTGCATGGGGTGCAGTCAGAACAGTGGTGCACATTGCTTGAGAGCAATTCCACATTTATGACAGAAACAAACTCTTTGCTCAAACAAATACTCAGTGGTGCCAATCACCATGATTGACAACAGTAAAATAATTTTGTTTTTGCCCTTAGAGAGGGAAACCTGACAGGATATAAGCAATTAAATTTGATGTGTGTGAGAAGCGCTTTGGAACACATGGCAATGATGCGACACAAACGCAAATTGCTATTGAGCTGAGGAATGCCAGAAACGTCAGCACGATTCATGACTGTATGATTTAACCTCATTAAAACAAAAAAAGTGTTTCTTATTTTCATGTTCAAACAGGGGATGACTGTGTTCAGTGATGAGACTGCCAAATGTACAACTTGAGGCATAGTTCAGCCTTTAGAGTAAACAGTCCCCAGCTTCTCCCTCTTCCATGGATTCAAATCTAACCTACTGTGCTATCTTTTAAAACCATTAGCTAAACAAAATGCTTGCCTTTTTCTTCAGCAATTCATATTAAGCAATGTTCTGATTTTAACAGATTGTTATAAATCTCCATTATGAAAGTTGCAATTACATTGGCAATTTTTTTAAAAAACAAAAGACAGTGCAACGTGTTTACGACGACCTGGAATGCATCGCATGAAAGGATGGTGGAAGGAGATTTAATTGTAGCTTTCAAAAGGGAACGGAGTAACCCCTTCAAAGAAAAAAAAAAGTACAGGGCTATGCAGGAAAGAGCTGGTCAGTGGGACAAGTTGGATAGCCGAAGCAGAGAGTTGACAATGGGCTGAACCCTCAGATGTACGGTTTTGTGAAATTGTTGATAATATCAGTGCAGGTCTAAAGAATTTAAAAAGGTCAATCGAAATACACAAGATCTGTATTCCAATAGTTCTTTATGGAGGTTTACTGTTTACAATGCTGGGTGACCACACTACCAAAGTATTCCATTTTCAGTTTTAACTATAATATTGGTTTCATTCTGCCAAATCAAGATGTAATGACAAGAACATTGAGCCGGGCTTCTCTTTAACATCACCAAAATATATTATCTTGTAAAATTAAATGTTATGTTTGCCTTTATTACGAACAGATTGAGTGTTAATACAATTAATTAATTAATTCTATACAAATATATATGAGTCTTTGGTGATGATGCCACGCCTAGAATTGTGAACAGCATGTGCGCGCTCTGGACTCTGCCGAAGGACAGATATGAAAAGACGGCCGGGGGTGGGGGGGGATAGATAGAAAGCATGAGAGACACAGACAGACACAGAGAGAGCGCGAGGGAGAGAGAACGCACAAACGAGCACTCAGCGGAGAAGAGAGAGAGTGACACAGACCACAGAGTGAGAGAGGGAGAGACAGATTGGGGGCAGGGGGTGGGGAGGGAAACAGATAGACAGAGAGACGCCTGCAGGCCCTAGAGATGATTTTTCACGGTGTGTGCACCGTTAACGCACAGGGCTGACATGTGCTTTGTCTATAAATGAAGGTTCAGATTGCTCTGCAATTGTGCAGATTAGAAGGAATATTTTGTCAGACTTGCCAGGATAGGTTGACAATTTAGGGCAAACGTAAAGAGAAATTTCTTCAAAAGGGTTGCCAGCCTTTAGAATTTTCTATGCCAGAGAACTGTGGATGCTTACTCACCATGTATCCTCAGGGCAGAGATTAACAGATTTCTAAATATTAAGGGAATCAAAAAATTGCATAATAATGTAGGAAAGTGGGGTTGAGGTAGGCCATCAACAATTATATTAGCAAATGGTGGAGCTGATTTGAAGGGCAAAATGGTCTATTCCTCTTTCTCTCTAATGTTCTTATTTTCACAAGATATGGTATAATATTGTGGCAGCACAGTTCTTTAAAGAAACCAATTACACGAGTGGCAGTGGACATCAAATTAAACAAGCAAGTCATTTACCTTAGCTATATTGTGGAATTTTCAGCAGACATGCTTTCAGAATCCAGTTCATTAAACTCCGTTGAGCCACACTGTGTTGCGTGTGCCCAGCTGCCTGTGAATTCAGAGGCAACATTTTCATCCCTCTCACTGACGTCCTCTACCTCACCCCACTCCTCATCCTCATCACTAAACTGGCCATCTCTGCTATTGCTCTCTGATGTGTCCATGGCATCTTCTGTTTGCTTTTCTGCAAACCAGTCCCTGACCTGTTCGTAGCTCATGTTGGACTTTGAAACCAACTCATCAAGGTCTTCCTCCCTTAGCTGTCGGTGCCGTAAGTAATACTGTAACAGGATGGTTTTACCAGCCCGGCTGTGTATGGAACGACCTGCTCCGCCCCAAACACCAGCTGCTTTATGTCCTCTGCTATTTCCCCTTCGTTCATTGCCATTGAGGTTACTCTGGCCATTGTGACTTTCTGTATTTGCTCTTTGGTACTGGTCAAGCCATTTTAAGTTGCCATTTTTAATTGCATATCTGTTGTCACCAAACCAACGTACAATGTCATTTCTTGGCAGCCCACTCTGCACTGCTAAACTGTCATATTGTTCTACTGTTGGCCACTGTGTACGTACAAATGCACTCTTTAGGATGTGCAGCTGTTCCTGACTTTTCTTATGAGTCTTGTCAATTGGACTAGTTGTTTTATTATGCTGCATTCCTGTGTTTGGAGGAGGGGTTCTGGGCTTACCTGGATAATGTGGACCCAAATGGGAGGTTTTTGTGTGACTACTGTCAACTACTTCTTGCCCTTCTGATTTAAGAGAGTCTGGTTTCACATCTGGATTGAGGGGTGCTTTGCTCGTTTCTAGAATCCCTCCTTCTAGCGAGTCTCTCAGTTTTCTCCTCTCCGAGAACCAAGCGTCAATCTCCCTCCTGGTTAGTTTGGACTCTGACCTTAATCTTTCTTTTTCCTCATCCGTTGGGAATGAACTGTACTGAAAGCTTTCCTCAAGCACTTTCAATTGATCAATACTTTTCTCTTTGAATTTCTGTGGCGCAAAGTCAGAGTAACTACTCCATCCAGATTTACGATTTGGGTGGCTCCCAGAAGGAGGATCCTGGGGGATGGTGACCACAATTTCTGAGGCAGCATGACTGGAATGGCCCTTTTGTGTCCGGTAGCGGTTATCACTGAACCACTTCTTGATCTCCGCCCTGGAGAGTTTAGTCACCTGCATGAGCCGAAAAACCTCCTCATCATCGGGGAACTGGCTGACGGCGAAGCTGGCCTTCAGTTCTGCCATTTGCTCCTTGGTCTTCTTGCGGCTCGTGTTTACATCTGCAGCCCCGGGAGAAAACACGACCGAATTCCCCTGTGATGTGAGCTGACAAACCTGGACTACGTTTGCACGCTTTGGGTCACCTGTTACTTGCGAGGGTGGCAAACTCCTCTTCTGAGACTGGGTCTGGTTTGCACTGGTGGCTACCGCCAACGTGATGGGAGAACAGGACATTGTTGACCCGTTTGCAACTTGTGTCCATACGATACCTGTCTGACCAACTAACTGGCAGGGCACTCCTGTCTGAATAACATGCTGCTGTGAGCATTTTGTGGATGATGGCATCTGCGCTGGTACAACAGTGATTGTTGGTGTCTGAATGGTGCCATTAAACATCATTTTTCTGGCCTCTTCTACCTCCTCAGGAGCCCAACTGATGCCGTGTTTAAGACGCTGGGTTGAAAACCATATTTTAATTTGTTCTTCCGGATGCTTTGAGACAGCTGTCAACCAAGACAGCTCTGCCTGTGTAGGGTACGGGAATTTATTAAAGGAACCTATGAGGCTTTTGTTAACATCCATAGCAGCGTTATATTTTGTGCCATGCATGGGAATCATGACTTTGGGTATTAAGTTGATGTTTGGTGGTGGTTGTATAGATGGCATTACATGAGGCACTCCATCCTTAATCACAGTTTCTGGAATTAGCAATCCACTATTAGCACTGAGAGTTAAATCGGTGCTATTCGCTTCTGTCTTGCTTTCTTGTGTAACATCGTACTCATCTTTCACTCGTGACAATACATTGATTCTTTTACTATCTGCTTTGCTTTTGATCATTTTCATGATTGGAGTTTTACTTATTGAGATTCCAGCTGGAGGAATTTCCTCTCTATCTGTGTTCATACTGTTAGTAGGATCTTCAATAGTCTGCTCAAGAATAGTCTGATTATTGCGCTTTATCAACTTCAACTTGAAGTTGTTTTCACCTTGGTGATGTCTACCATTATGATCAGTGAAGGTGTCGTACCTTTTTGTTGTAAAGTTACAAACCGCACAGACATAAAATGGATTGAGGATAACATTTGGGTGTATGGTATCAACATGTTCTGTAAACTCGTTCAAGTCCTGTGATTCAAAGGTGCAATATTTACATTCATAGCCTCCTTCTAGTTTCTTGGTCTGTTGATTGTCTAAGGCAGTTTTCTCTAAAACTGGATGATCCCTGTCATTTATCCCATTATCCGCTGGCCAGCTTTCATCTGACAGTCGGTGAGGAGACCTGTCACCTGCATTTCCATCCATTTCCAAATCTGGTTCCTGCTCCAAGACATCTGTGGCGCGAACCATACAAGGAGTTGTGGACTTCCGTTTACTAGCCATCAGTCTGATACTGGGAGCAGCAGCTGGCTAAGATGGTACTTAAAACCTCAACAGACCAGTGGCCTCTTTGGGGGAGTATGCTCAAAACTGCTCCAGTTTGCTGAACACAAGATTTTGCTTATTACCATCAGCTCCAGCTGGCAGCTTTGTTGGCCCACACCATAGGAGAATTTAACCTGCAATACAGAACACTTGATTGAGTGTCTTTTTTTTTTTTTTAGAAAAATTAAACCAAAACCTGTACAACCATGAACAATAGATTAGAATGGTCCTGTTGGATGATGGCGTTGGACTGGGGTGGACAAAGTCACAAGTCTCATGACACCAGGTTACAGTCCAACACGTTTATTTAAAATCACAAGCTTTTGGAGCACGGATCCTTCGTCAGGTGAAATCATCTGACAAAGGAGCAGCACTCCAAAAGCTTGTGATTTTAAATAAACCTATTGAACTATAACCTGGTGTTGTGCAATTCTGACTTTGTCCAACTTTCGTTGGCATCTTTCTACTTCTGGCACATTTGTTTTCTTTAAACCAAAAGGTCAGCACTGAGAAATGGAATATGTACTGCCAAATGGCTACATTAAGCAGTCACAGGTTATACTAGCTTATGATGAAGTTGAGTAAGGTGCAGAGTTATGCACTTTAATTGCCCCAACTTTAACTTCAAAAGAACAATCCAACTCCAATAGCATGATATTCAAATGTATCAGTTGTGATATTTTATACAAGAGGAAAGTCTTCTATTCCAAGGCAAATTATAGATACTGTGCATGCTTTTGTTTCATACTCAATATTGACAAACAGCTGAAATCTATTTTACGAAAAGAAAGGTCTTTATATTTATGTTCAATAGGCTGGACATGGAGAAAACGTTTCCATTTGAGAGTAGAATCTAAAACTAAGCCTCAAAAATCAGAATAATTAAATCAGGAATTGAGGAGAAACTTCTCTACCCAGAGTGGTGTGAATGTGCAACTGGCTACCTTAGGGACTGGTTGAGTTTAGCATATAGTTGTAATTACCAAGAAGTTAGATAAACACGATGGATGAAAAAAAAGAGTAATAGGGTATAGTACAGGGGTAAATAAAAGCCAGAGATGCAACTTGAAATGGAGTTGAACTTGAATCCTAAGGAAATTTTAAATACATTTGTACCAGGTATTTTGCTGTGTTTTAAAACATTAGGCCTACCTTTCACAGTTCTGGATGTTTGTACCATATCTGACCAACATCCGTATCTTTGGTGCCATGCTTTCAGAGGCCTAAATAGTAAATTTGCAGTTCCCTATTTAAATCTTGCCATACGTCTTTCCTTCCTTAAAGGGACCTCTTAAAATCCACCTCAATGACCAAAGTTAGTTACCTGCTTTAATATTCCTTATGTGTATGCTTGACAAGCAAGGGTGTGAAAGATTATGGGGGCATAGGCAGAAATTTGGTGTAATCAAATCAGCCATGATCTTATTGAACAACAGGGCAGATGTGATAAGTGGCTGATCTCTGCTCCTAATTCATACGTTCATATATTGGTAGAACATGGTGTGCATTACAAGTTAGTGGACATGAATTGGAAGTGGACGATGTATTCAGAGAGAAACGTAACAGCAAAAAAGAAATATCATTTGGTAATTTTATCTATTTCAAGATAGACCCAAATAGCAACAATGCATGCAATAAATGTGGGGAGCCCCTTTTACATTCAGTCTGTTTCTAGTCCAATGAGGTAAGAAGCCTCCTCCTCTGATTTACTTCTGCAAAACTGATGCAAGAGTCGGACATAAGTGATGGATCTGTGTTGCTGATAGGACAGGAGATATCCAAGGCTGGTGACTATGTAGGCTCTCACAGGAAACAGCCCTGGAGAAGGGCAACTGGGAACTGGGAATCCTCAACCGTGGACATAATGAGGTCTCTTGTCTTCAGGTCACACACGAATAAGGAAATTTCCTGATTACCACCTGCAGCTGAATAATCTGTACTTCTCCAGGTAGACCATCACTTGGTGGAAGCACTGAAAATAGCAAAGGGCAGAATTCTTCAATATCTGTCTCCAAGAACGGCTTGGTTGCACCATTAGCCAGGCCCTCAAAGAGGACAAACTGCCAGACCATGCTTGCAAAAGCTGAAACAGCATCAAACATGTATCTACTTGGCCAACCTATCCAAGCTGTTCCTCAACAATCTGCCTAGGAGTGGACCAAGAAACATCTTTTGCAAAGACCAAATCCTATCTTCATTCCCTCCACTGTGTTACGGGGCACACCATGTTAAGTGAGATGGACTAGGGATATACACAACATTCAACACTAGGAGGCCATGAGGAGCAGAACTGCATACTGCAACATATATTGCAACTACATAGGCTGGCACATCTATTACAGAAACAGCATTAAAGCCACACAGAGCATATAGATGATGTACCAGCATGCTGCAAGAAGGGAAATTCGGATTATGAACAGAGATTTGAGATGAGGGAATATTTTCACTTGATTACAAAGGATGAAGACATGATTTAATAGGTGAACACTTGAACAGCCCTTAAAAATCATTTATCTTACTGCTGTTTGAGACCTTGAAGTGCAGGCATTGGCTGTATTAAACCAGCGACTACATTTTGTAGGTATTTCATGGGCTGTAAGTACTTTGAAATGTCCCAAAGATCTTGCATAAATACAAGTTCATTCCTTCTTTTAATATATTGTTTCAGTTTTCTCACACACTTTAATAGACAAATCCTCCAGTTGGGGAGACAGTGATCAGGAGTCACTAATATAAATCTATTAATGAGACAGAGAAAAGATGCAAGAACAACTTTCTATATTGGATACAACTGCAAGAAGGAGGAACGCTTTGTCAGAATGCGGCCGATGCAGAGATCCCTCTACCTTTTTAGAAGAAACTGCATAAATATCTGAGACAGAAGGTGACATGGAACTATGGTGAAACAGCAAGGTTTTAAGGACTAATTTGGGGCTGCAATAACTGGGGTTATGGGGGGCAAAAAGGGGGCTAAATGATCCCTCTGTGCTTTGTTTCCTGCATGACCATACTAATTTTTGCAACTAGATTTTAGGTCTACCCTGAAGTGAATAGCTAAGAATACCCTAGGAATTAGCTTCATGCAAGAAAAACAGATCACTTCTGCAGATTGTTGGTGATTTCTATAATCTACAGCTTCCTTACTAACAAAAGGTGTTACAAGTTCATGTCAGGTCTGGTATTTGTAGTCACAATTGACTACAAACAAAAAAAGAGATGCTCATTGTTCTTTACATTTGCAGTTGCCCAATGACTTTATATGGTCTTTTGTACTGCAACTTGCTTTAATTCAAGACCATATGAATGTGGTGCCCTCTATAGGGGATCTAGGACACGTCTGAACATCTGAAGTAATAATGTATTTCCTTCAGAGATAGCAAGAAATGCAGATGCTGGAGTCAGAGAAAACACAGTGTGGAGCTCGAGGAATACAGCAGCCCAGGCAGCATCAGAGGAGCAGGAAAGTTGACGTTTCGGATCAGGACCCTTCTTCAGAAATGGGGAGGGGGAAAGAAGCTCAGAAATAAATAGACAGAGGAGGGGTGGGGGTGGGGAAGATAGGTGGGATGGTGATGGGAGAGTCCAGGTAGGGAGTGGTGGGGCGGATAGGTGGGAGAGAAGATGGATAAGTTGTGAGAGGTCAAGGAGGTGGGGATGAGAGGGAGGGTTGGATATGGGATGAGGCCAGGGATGGGGAGATTTTGAAACTGGTGAATTCTATATTAAGGCCATCGGGCTGTAGTGTTGCTCTTCCAGTTTGCTGGTGGGGTCATTGTGACACTGGAGGAGCCCAGGACGGACATGTCACCCAGGGAGAGGGAGGGGGGAGTTAAAATGGTTGGCGACCGGAAGGCGTAGTTTGTCACGTACAGAGCTCAGATACTCTATGAAACAGTCTGAGTCCGAGTCTCCGATTGATCTCACTGATGTACAGGAGGCCACATCGGGAGCAGTGGATACAGTAGACCAAGTTGACGGATGTACAGGTGAACCCCCTGTCTGATATGAAAGGCTTGTTTTGGGCCTTGAATGGAGGTGAGGGGGGAGGTGTAGGGGCTGGAATGGCACTTCTTGCAGTTGCAGGGAAAGGTGCGGGGCGGAGGGGAGGTGGAAAGAGTGGGTTTAGTGGGGAGGTGGAGCGGACGAAGAAATCGTGGAGACAGCGGTCCCTACGAAAGACGGATAGGGCGTGGGGAGGGAAGTATCTCTTTGGTTCTGGGGTTGGATTGTAGGTGGTGGAAATGGCAGAGAATTATACATTTAACGCGGAGGTTGGTGGGGTGATATGTGAGGACAAGGGGAATTCTGTCTTTATTTTTGTTGGGGTGAGGGGGTTTGAGGGCATAAGTGCAGGAAATGCAAGAGATGCAGTTGAGAGCACTTTCGATCACCGGAGGGGGTAAGTTACGGTCCTTGAAATAGGAGGACATCTGGGATGTGCAGGAGTGGAATGCTCCATCTTGGGAGCAGATGTGGCGGAGGTGGAGGAATTGGGAGTAGGGGATCGCATTCTCGCAGGAAGATGGGTGAGAGGAGGTGTAGTACAGGTAGCTGTGGGAGTCGGTGGGGTTGAAATAGATGTCAGTTTCGAGGCAGTTACCAGAGATGGAGACGGAAAGGTCCAGGAAGGAGAGGGATGTGTTGGAGATGGTCCAGGTGAATCTGAAGTTGGGGTGAAAGGTGCTAGTAAAGTTGATGAACTGTTCAAGCACATTGTGGGAGCATGAGGCAATGCCGATACAGTCATTAATGTAGCAGAGGAAGAGGTGGGGAATAGTGCCGGGTTAACAGCGGAAAGGGCCTATTTCACGTATCCTACGAACAGGCAGGCGCAGCTTGGGCCCATGTGGGTGCCCATGGCGACCCCCTTAGTCTGTAGGAAGTGGGAGGAGTTAAAGGAGAAGTTGTTCAGGGTAAGGACAATTCCTGTTAAGCAGATGAAGGTGTCGGTGGAGGGGGACTGGTTGGGTCTGCGGGAAAGGGAGAAGCGGAGGGCTTTTAGGCCATCTACGCGTATACGGGGATTGGATGTCCATAGTGAAGATGAGGTGTTGGGGACCAGGGAATTGGAAGTTTTGGAGGAGGTGGAGGACGTGGAGGGTGTCCCAATATAGGTGGGGAATTCCAGGACCAG